TTAAAATAAATACTTAATAAGTAAGCTCTTTAGCAGACATTTAAGTATTACATTACATTTCGTTTTCTTTTCATTATTGTTCGTTTTTTTTTTTTTTTTTTTTTTTTTTTTTTTTTTTTAATATTTTTTGTTTGCTTTGTTTTGCTTTGTGAACCTGAGCTGCATGTCTGCTTGAAGAGCATGTTTGATTGTGCAATAAATATGGCGCAAGCATTTAGTATATGTAGTCCGTGTGCGTTATCCTGAGCTAGCGAAGTCGTATTTGATGTTCGGTTGTCATCGTTGATTTATCTCCTCTTATTTTCTTTTCTACTTTTTCTTTTTTTCCTTTTTTCTTTCTTTTTTTTTTTTGTTTTTTGGTATGTCGCAGCTAACTAACTAAGTTAAACTAAATAATTATTGACTACAACACTACAACAAGTTTAGCCATGTGGGAGGTTTAAGTCTTTAGAGAGGGGAAGGGCAAAGAAGGAAAGGGACAGCAAGGGGAGGGGACAGCGTGTAGAGCGGGAGAAATTTTAATGGAATGTTCCTGGATGATTTGGTGGATTGAATTGTGGAGAAATGCTTAGAAGGGCTGAGCCAGACCATAATGGTTGTAGGCCAAGTCGGCAGCGCTGGCCTGACCGTTGCGGTTCCAGTCGGAGTGCACGATCTCGGCGTTCAATGGGCTGCCAGTAATGTAGGCAGTGGTGATGTGGTCCTTCTTCTTGGCCAACAAGTCCTTGAAGAAGGTGGCACCTACACAGAGTGATTCGTCAATGAAACAGCTCACATGTTACTGTCCGCCACAAGGCACTTACCAGCCAGGATGAGGGCAAGGAAGGAGATGGCCAGAGCCTTCAGCGAGATGAACTTGATGATGGTGAACAGGACCTTGACGACGACCGCCTTCTTCAGCTTCAAGATCAAGAGCAGGGGCAGCAGCATCTTCTTCATGCGCTTGCTGCGCGACTCTGTGGAAATTGGAGAGAAATCGAAAACCATTTCTAGTTTAGCCCATAAATATGCAAAGTCGAGTGAGTAAATTGGCAGCTCTTGCTGCAGCTGCAAAGTATGCAACACGAGTTGAGCAATAAATCGGCAAATACTTGTGTGCACGCGGCGTATGCGCAATTTACGGCCACGCAGCCAAGTAGCCAAGCAGTCTGGCAGTCAGCCAAGGCCCAAAGGCTCAATGCTGTAGCTACAAGTGCTTGCAACAAATTGCCTGTCAATTGCACCAGCAACTGAGTTGCAAACAGTTGCCAACAAATGGCAACAGTTGCAAACAGTTGCCAACTAGAGTGAAAGTTGACGCCCAGTTTTACGAGGCAACTCACCCTCCATGGCACGTCCGCTGTATGCATTCTCGGCATTCTCATCCTGCTCATCGCCGGAGAACGAGAGATTCAGCTCGTGCGTTTCCAGATAGCGTTCGGCACGATCCTCGAACGATTCGAGACCCTTGGCGGAGCCGAAGCTGCGACCGGTTTCGGTGCGATCGATGCGCAGGCCGCCAAACAATGGGATCGAATCCTCGTTATCCAGCTTATTGAGCAAATTCACTAAGTCCTTTTCGCTGCTGTCCTGCGAGGGCAGAGCCAGAGCGCCGCACACAAAGCTGGCCACGAGCACAACACAAACGAATTTCGCGCACATTTTAATATTGGTTGAGTTGGGACGGGGAGAGGAGCCGTTAGCCGATTTAATTGGTTTGATATTTTTGGATAGTCCTTGGCTTTAGCAATGCGTTCAGAGCACACACTGCTGTTGGCTTTGTGATAGGGAGTTGCTTTGTGATTAATTGAATGCAATGGGCCGCAGTTTTATACCTTTCCAATGCGAACGCGTGCCTCCATTGCTCGCCGGGCACAGCGCGGCGCACTTTGTCCAATTTGGTGGCTAGAAATCGACGGGCCAAAGCACACACACAAAACAAAATATAGCAGCAACAGCAACATTCACAATTTATGCAAATTTTATGCGTATGCTAGTGCGATGGGGCACAGTCGCAGCCGATGGCCAAAAAATTTCTTGACCATATTTTCACGCACGTCCCACGACCAAACGAAAGGGAAGTCGTCGTCGAGCGGCTTGAATATTATTATTTTATATAAGCAAATGCCCCGATTTCCTTTCGACTGCCATGCCGGCGGAGAGGTGGGGTGCGGTGTGGACAGGTGTGGAGAGGTGAGCTGGGCAATTGGGTGTCGTCTCACCGTTAGCCGATCGCAATTGGCATGCAGCAGCCACGCCCCGGGACGGCAAGGAACGTGACTCCATTTGCTTATGTGCCAGATTCTTTGGAGCTCCCATTAGCCCGTCCGTCCATTGAATGGCATTAAAARCGATTATTATTATTAGGGGCCAGCGTACTTGGCCATATTTGGTATGCACCAGCCGGCGGCTCGCTTAATGCGCGCTTTGGCCCCGTTAGAGACGGCAGCAGCGCGACGCTTTCAACGCTTTCGATTTCATTCTCTTCGAGTCAAGTCTCGTTTTCTATTTCAATTGCTTCTAAATCTTTGACAAATCTGCGCAAAAGAAAGCTAAATTGTCGCACATGCTCGCATTTGCTCGATCGCATCAGCCATGTAGAAAGTTGACGGCAATTAATGTGCCCAGGCCCACATGGAAATATTTCAATTATGGGGCGTGGCAAATGCCAAAAATATCCAAACTATACTATACGCACACACGCATACATGTACACATACACATACATATACATATCCATATATACGTACATCAATTGGGCATGTGGCCAGCTCTGTGTCGGCGCTCAAGAACTGGCCAAAAACTTTTGTTTTAATAGCCCAAAAACAAGTTGCCTAAAAGTCGAGCGCATATATAAAAACATATATATGTATATGTATATACAATATAAATAGTTAGCAACCAGTTGTGAGTGCCTTGGGAAAGTGTTGCCACAGTTTTAGTTTTGGCCACAGTTAATAGGGTCATACGCTCTGAAAGTTAAGGCCAAGTTTAAAGTATTTATCGATTTTATTAACATGACTCTTTAGCTGGTGTCTTGTACAATGTGAAGTGTTTCTTCTTCTTCTYATTCTCTTTCTCTGTTTTTTGCAATGTTGTGTTATACAATAATAAATTAGGCAATTAAATACGCGTCAGCTTCACGTCTCGAATAAATTACTACAAGCTAGATTTTCAATAAAAAGAAAAGGCACATTTCTGGCTGTTGGCCGAAGTGAAACGAGGTCCGCTTACTGCTGCTGCTGCTGCTGCTGCTCCGGCTGCTGGCCGGCGTAGGCCAGCTCCTGGGCATTGTCGACGGTGATGCTGCGTGCATAGGGATAGGCGGAGGAGGCGCCCGAGCTCCAGCCAGCGGTGGCTGGGGCGGACCAGGCGTTCGAGCTGTAGCCACCGATAGCGCTGCCGCCGAACTTGTTGCCAAAGCCGCTCAGCAGGCGGGAGCCGCCGACCAGAATGGCCAAGAAGAAAGCGATCTTGGCCACGACGACGGCCTTGAAGGTCAACAGGGCGAGGAAGCCGAGCACCAAGGGAATGACAGCGAACAGCTTAGCGCCAATGGCCAGGGCAATGGGGCCAATCATCTTCTTGATCTTGCCGCGACCTGTAAATGGAGCGGAACACGAAGAGCAGAGAGTCGCAACAGTGTTAGTCGAAAGTGGATCAGAGATTTTGTTTTGATTGAATTGCTATGTACCTTCATCCAGAGCGCGTGCCACCTGCTGGGTGGTCTCGGCGGGCAGCTTGAACTCCAAGTTGTGGGTGCTCAGGAAGTCGGTGGCACTGGATATGGCCAGATCGACCAGGCGGCCGTTGCGCTCATCGCCATTCTGTGGCAGCTCAGCATAGATGTCCTGCTCGCTGAGGGACTTGCCGCTGCGCTGCACGGGGCTGGCGGGATCTCTGCAACGGGCATGAAGAAAACACAACTTAGAACACTCTGAACTCTGAACTCTGAACTCGGAGCCAAGACAAGACAAGGCAAGACACAATGCGAATGCACTCGACAATTCGTTTGCAATATTTCACTTTCACACACACCTCTGGAAGGTGACGCCATTGATTAGCTCAATGTTGTTGCTCCTGGCGGCGCGATTCAGTGCGGTAATGCCCTTGACGGCCAGACAGGTGGTCATGTCATCGCTCTCGAGGCAGGCGCCCAGATAGCGGGCGGCACGTCCGAGCGTGTTATCACTTTCGACGCGATTATCTTGCACACTGGGCGCGGCCCAGGCGCTGCTGGCCGCCAAGACGAGGCACACACAGGCAATGGAAAACACTTTCATTTTCGTTTAGGTTTTTAGTTCGAGAACTTTTGCTGACACGCGACGCGATTTAATCCTTGGCTGTTGACTGGAAGCTGTTGCTGCTGCTGCTGCTGTTGCTGCTGCTGCTGTTGCTGCTGTTGCTGCTGAGGTCGAGATGAATTTGATGAAGTTGGAAGACGTCTAGCCTTATATATTCCGGCAGCTTTTGTGACAGCTGCGCAGCCGGCGTCGAAGTTGACGTTACAAAACAATTTTTAAGTAAATTAAGTAAAAGACGCAGCCGCCGCGCAGTCGCAGCAGCAGCAGAGGCAGCGACTGCGGAAGCAACCAAAAATTGTGAAAAAAGTGACGCGAAAATAAAGGCACTGAGCACATGCATAAATCTAGGGAACAGAAACAACTACAACAACAACAACAGCGGGCCCAAACGGGCCAAACAACAACATCAAAAATAACAACAAGAAAAGAGAAAAAAAAGAAGACAACGGAAAAATAAAGTCAACTTGTTTGTTAAGTGAATATGTTCATTTCTTCTTCTTCTTCTGCTGCTTGCTGCTGCTTACTGCTCGCGCGCTGACTGACTTTTTTCGGCAGCGTCAACGTCGACGTCAACGTTGACGTCGTCATCCGTCAAACACAAACTTGACGTCGAGCTGCGCTGCAGCGCTGCCCGAGAGAAACTTGCGCTTGGCTAGGGCGAGAGCGCGCGCGTGCGCAAGAGTGGGAGAGGGCGAGGCAGAGAGAGAGAGAGGGAGTGTGATTGGGCAGAGGAGCGAAGAGTGCCTAGAGATCGAATAAGAGCGGCCGGCAGAGTGCAAACAATTGGCATCATTGGCTGAGCCCATGGGCAGCGGTAATTATGGCAATGCGCGCATCGATACACGCCCTCCCAGGCAGCGTCCGCTTTCACACACACGCACACACACACACACACACATACGAACACACACAGCTATACACGTATGTGTGCTACTTTATTGATCCGGTTGCGGCATATTTTGTTGAGCCTGGCATTTAGCCGCCTTCATAAATGGGTCAACTCTTGTTTGCCCTTTGAGCCACGCCGCAATATTGTTTAGCACCTCTTACGATCCACATAATCATCGATTTGATAGAGAATTGAGAAACGTTGAGGCCTTCAGTGAAGTGCTAAATATTTGCAATGGGAATTGTGTAATATCTAATTATGATAAGCAACTGATTATGGTCAGCAAATATAAAAAATTTTTTGTAAAAGATTGGCAAATAGAGCTATATCTGCCTATATGCCTGATATATATCTAGATTATGTTCATTATATACATCATATGTTCATCTCCTTCTCTATATATAAATACGTATAAATGGAATATTTTATATGCCTTTTATTTGTATTCATTATAAGTTCACAGTGTTTCATCGCAACTATGCCAATTCATTCACATTTGGCAGCACTGTCAATAAGTTATAGCCAAAAGCCCGAACAGTCCAAGCCACTTATTCCCACTTATCTACACTTTTGCTTACTTATTAGCGCTTATAGACACTCCACATGGATATGACAGCTTTTGAAGCTAATCGAAATGAAGCTCAAACTTTTGAGCAATATTGATTAGCCTAATTCATGTCATACAATCAATTAGCATATGCTAAAGTCGAAATAGTATTTCTTAAGATTTTCGCATATTTAATTGATATGTGCTCAAACACGTTTATAACTGATTCATCGTCCGTTTTGTTTTAGTTTTTATTTTTTGTTTTCTGCCTGCCTCTGTCACGTTTTTTGAGCTCTCACGCATTGCGGCATTCCGACATTTCTCCGGCGTAGAGCTACATGAGATCTCATACAAAGAATGCCGCCAATAAAAAATCGAAATAACACAGTTTGTATTTTACTTTTCATTTTTAAAGCATTTAAAGCAGCAGCTTATTGAAGCCAAAACTATTCACAAGCCAAAATCCACAAAATAATAATCATAAAAACAAAACAAAACAAAAAAAAAAAAAAAAAGTCAAGCAGGAGAAAAACAAAAGTCTCAATTTACTCACTTTCATTTATATTACAACGATATGCGACACTAAATGCTGTGTAAGTATGTTGTTGTTGTTTCATTTGTAGTTCCTGTTATTGTTGTTGTTGCTTTTGGTTTCTGCTCTGTGAATTTGGCTGACGCCTACGGGCGTCGGCTTGTCACACGCTGCGTATGAGTGACGCGCCTTTATTTTCGGTTATTGTTTTAGCTGCCTAAAATCGAACAACAGCAACGGCAACAGCAACAATAACAACTACTACGGCGAAAAAAAAGAAAGTGCGTTAGGCATACCCCACATATATACCCTATATATACCCGCGCAGCACATGACTGGCCCATGATTCACCTGCTGCGCTCATTTGCATAGAGCTGTTCGCTTGCAGCTTGCGGCATGTCAAATATTTCTCAGCAGTTGCCACACACCGCTTCTCGCACTCACCTCGAATGCTCGCAACGCACATTCATTGATGATAACTCACCTTGCCAATGTCCGACCCTCTGTACGATCCCCTCCCCTACCTCCCTCGTCGGCCAAACCTTTAGCTTCGATCATCTTTCGCTTACCTTGCGGTCCAGTTTCGCGTTCATTCATTGGCGTCGTTTAGCGTGAGTGAAAGTTATGTAATTTTCGGTGAATTTTGCAATTTGCAGCGAACATCAGAAAAACCTGATTTCGCCGGCTCCTGCACTCGCAGCAACAATAACAACAATAACAACAATAACTAACATTGAATTGGTGCTCTGTATCGATTGTCCGGCTAAATGTCAAATCAAATGAAATTTCTAAATGCCAATCATATAGAAATTTCTCTTTTTTACCAAGCACAACTGTCAGCCAACCCTTTTGCACTCGCTGCTGCCGTCTCGCTCTCGCAAATAATGCGTTTTTGACAGCCTTACAAAGGCCTTTAACGCGCCAAATCAGTCCCAGATATAACTATCTATATATATACTATGTACACAAATATATTTATACAAAACTCATAAGCTTCAATTTGTTGACTGGCATCGCCCAATTAGCCACAACAAGTGGCCAAAAAAAAAAAACAACAAAAACAAATTGGCCCGCATACTTTCGTTGTGGGTGTGGTCAGCTCTACAAGTGAGTCGTACTTGATATACCCTGTAATATACATATTTTGTTATTTTTATGACAAGACTCGTAGGCGAAGACGTTACATCCGGAGGCTGACTATCTATATATTATATTGAATAAAAATTAAGTTTTCTGAGTACATCAGAAGGTTAGGCTCTATATAATATAATCTAACAGTGTTGTTAAGGTACTATACTTGCATTGTACAGATTTAGCGCTTAAAATAAATACAGACAAACAAAAAAATATATATGCATAAAACTTATACTGTGCTTAGCACATATTAAGTAATGCTAAAATATTTCATGTGGGTTGGTAATCAGAATTTGTTATATATACTTAAATACTTAGTATAATGAATACAGTTTTGCCTATAAATTTTCCATAAAATTTCGCGCAAATCCATTTTTACTTTCAGCTGATAAGCTGAAATTTATTATTCAACACTGCCAGCTCAAGATTCATCATTCCAGGGTATCTGCAGTGCTATCCGCTACTTTCAAATCACAATCATCTTTTTGTTGTTGCCAAGTTTACTTTTGAAATTAGCCAGACATATTTCGCAGCTCAAGTTGGCAATGCCAACCGCTGTGAGCGAGGCATTCAGCGTGCGTTCTATTGACCCAATTGCGTGTTTGCAATGCATATATGTATAATAAATACATATCGATTTGCCAGACCGATAAGTCTACATAGGAACAGTTATGTAAATGCAGATGCTCCTCGAGGAACTTTTTGGACATTATGACCAAATAGAAAAAATATATATATAAGATACATATTCGAGAAAGTAATCTAATTTATAGATGAAATTGATATGACAGAAGAATATTTTCCACATGCTGGAACTCATTCTCTTCCTTTTTCGTGTATTATTATCATATACTTATTAAATATAAATATTTTCCTAAATTCGGTAAACATTTATTGATCAACTTCAACATTTTACTGTCAATAAATCATGGATGAGGCCCATTATATTTGTGTTGTGTTTGTCCTCTACGTGTTCTTGGGGCCTCTCAAGTCAAATGTCTACCCTCTTTTTTTCAAGTATTCAGCCACACCAGAAAAGGAGCTTCTGCTCTGTTAGGTTAAAGGTGTTGCCCACCTTCGACTGTGCATGAAACGAAATAAAGCTAAAAGTCGCAAGTAGAAAAAGAAAAGCAAAGTACAAAAATGTGTTTTGCTACGTTTTTGGGTTAAACGCGTAAATACCGAGAGGTGAAATTGATTTTCTTTTCATTTGCGCAAATATGAATTGTCAATATTGTGCGTAGACGTTGTCTTGGTCGACGGCGTCATCGTCGTCGTCTGAGAAAGTGCAGCGTTATCTTCTTGCATGGGGCAGACCTTTTATTTTAGGGCTTGGGCCTGCTCTTGTCTGTTGAAAAATTCATGGACTGGCTGACGAATTCAATTCACTTTGTGGTTAACTGTTGGCCTAGCAATTGGCTTGAAGCACTGGGAACATCTCCTCCCTGTGGGAGTGCATGCGCTTTCACAGGGCTCCGGACTGAGCTGCGCCAAGGGCCGGACAATGGCAGCGCGTTGTTTGCCTTAACCCATTTGCCCAAGTCCCAAAGAAAGTGAAATTGATGACACAAATGTTCAAACAACAAATACTTCAACTTGAAGCTAAAGTTGCGGCTGTTGCTGTTGCTGTTGCTGCTGTATCTATGCTAAATGGTCTGGTTAAGTAATCCCGTGAGAGTCGCAAACATTGCGCACTCATCGAAGCGTCCAGCGCCGACTGCGCCGACTATGCCGAGAATATTGTCAGCCGCGCAGACCGAGATGCGACTGAAGCGATAAAATTCACGACGACGATGACAACACCCGCCTGTATGAGAAGTATGAGAACCGAAGGGGATCTTCTGATTAGGGCAGCCAATATGTAACATGAATTTCTCTTGTTTTCTGTTTAATAGCAATATTATTAGAAATATGTGCTTGTATTCAATTTTCAATGTAAGCACACATGCAAGTGCAATAAATACAATTATATGAATGTTTCAAGACTAAACTTCGCAAT